TATATACTTTGCTGGTTTTTTGTGTTTCTCTAGAGAACCCAATCTAACACATTTGCCCCATCTTCTTTCTGAGGAGTGGCTGGTGGGTTTGAACCGCTAGCCTTCTGGTTAGCAGTCAAGTGCCTTAGACACTATGCTACCAGAGCTCCTAGAGCAGAACTGGGTAAGGATCTTCAATTTCTTAATCTTTGACATTAGTGGTTTGTGTGTAAATTTGAACAGTCATTTTGTTAACTGGTCTTCTTTTAGTCATATGGGTATTATCACTGACAGTATTGAACTGCAGGATAGATCTTTAAATGTTTTTTTCCAAACACGAATAAGCTATTCTTCAATTTTCCATTCCTGGCGTCCTACACGGTACAATTTTGGGATTCAAACTTGCCAATATACTCCATCTTTTCTAAACTCATTTACTCGTTTGTATTTGTGTGCATGTGTGTGTGTGAATTCTGTGAGGTTTTCTATGCACAGGATTATATTATCAGAGGAAAGGGGTATGTTCACTTACTCTTGCTCAATTTGCATACTTTTCCTCTCACTTTATATCTACACCTCATTTTGTCATTTAGTTTTATCCATTCCTTGGTCCATGAGCATGTAGGCCATTTCTACCTTTTGGCTATTGTGAAAACTACTGCAGTTTTCATTAGTGTATATGTCTCTGTTTTAGTCCATGCTTTCCATTATTTTGGATGGATATGTGGTGCTAGGAATTCTGGGTATAAGGTAATGTGTTCAGCATCTTGTGGAACTGTCACACTGTAGTCCACAGTAGCAATGCCATTCTATGATCCCCACCGACAATGGCTGAGGGTTCAGGTGTTTTTACATCCTTGCAATGCCTGCTGTTTTCCCCTTTTTGGCTATTGCTGTTCTAATGGGGTGAGGAGACCTCTCACTGCAGCTTCTTTTGCATTGAAGCAACAGATCTTTTCTGGTGATTGCTACCCATTTGAATATCATCTTTACTGAAATGTCTGTTCAGATCCTTTGCTCATTTTTTAAAATTAGGTTGTCTTTTTTTATTGAGTTGTATAAGTTATTTACTTTTGTTATGTTTCATTTAATTTTGGTATCAGACGCTTATCAGACATATGGTTCCTTATGGTTTTCTCCCAATCTGTACATTTTGTCATCTTTTTAGTGATATCTCCACGTCCTTTCCATGGACTTGAGTCTCAACTAGGATGTAACTTGCACTTAAAAGATGAGGTCTTGGAGAAATTAAGAAAAATAAATAAATGCTCCAGAGGGAGTTGCTTGCCATTGGACCAAGAGCAGTGGATTTGCTGTTACTTAGGAAATCACACTCCCTACAAAGACAGCTCCTTTCTCTTGGTCCTTGTCTGGTTTTCTCCCGTTTGAAAGTGTGGACAGGAAGTTAGTGAAGCGTCCTCCTGGCCGCCGTCTCCAACGGGCCTCACCCTCTGCTGCACATGAGCTTCATCTGGAGAGTGTTGACCCATCCCCATGCTCAGGATTCACACAACACATGGGCCACGTCTATTTGTGAGGATAGGCCCCATGGGATTTAAAGTTCACCTCATGATTCAAGGAAGTCAAATTTGGAATCAGTCCAAAGGAAGTGTTTATCACACTTTAATATACATATGAACCAGTAGGATATACCATTATTTTGATGCTGTTGGCATTGGGTTGCATCTGAAAGTCTCTGTTTCTAGCAAGTTACAGGTTCATGGATGAAATTTTGTATAGAAATTCTTTTAACTCTCAAGTTAGTATTTGATGAATAAATATTTTAAATTATCTTTGCTTTTGAAATTATGTAAGTTAAAATAACTACAAAAAACACCTTATTTATGAACACTTTATTAATGTGGAAGAAAAACTTACAATACAACTTTAAGATAAATTTTAATAACCAAATTTATCAAGAACAAGAAAATATTCCCATTAATGGTTTCCACTTCAACATTCCCACTGACTCAAATAGTTTAACTCCAGTATACAGGACACGACTTAAAAGATACAGGTTCAACATCTGCATCCTTAAAATTCTTTCAAAAATCCACTCACTGTCACAGGTTATACAGATATATTTCATAGCTTCCAGTAACATTATAGTTTACTATTTATTCCTATATTGATTAACTTCTTATAAAAATAACTAAATTACAAAAAGTACTCTATGCCCACTCTATAAGTTCCACTTTTACTACAACTTAAATTTATGGAATTACACTTGCCAGTGTTTCCTTGTCTATGCTCCAACATTATCCAGAGTTCCACCATTGCGCCCCCACAACTGAGGATGTGAGTCAACAAACAGCCTGCTCGCTGAATCTTTCCCCTCTGTGCCCATTCACTCATCTCTCATTCACGTGAGTCTGGAGTCTTTAGTCTTCCCTACCATGGAGGTCTCACTCTCAATCACTCTCCTCAGAGGATGAGACCAGAAGGTCCTCATAGAGGACACTCACTGGGACATGAGGACAGTGTCTGTCAGACTTATCAAGTCCTTGAGGGTTCTGAACGGGAGGCACAGAATCCTCAGCAGGTAGAGAGGTGGCAGATATTGGGAACCTGGAGCTCCAGCATCCATTGCCCAGCCTTGTGAAAATAATTCTGAGGGGCTGGCCTGGAACATGATCAGATGGTGGCAGTGGAAGGGTAGTGCTGAGTTGGACGCTATTTGGTTGAGGTCCACTGTGTAGAGGCTGGAGCTTAATTCTGGGCTCCACAGAAGGCGTCTTACTGGTCACATGGGGTGCCTTTATGGCTCCAAATCCAGTTATGCTGGAGGGAGGCTGGCCAGTACCTGCATCAGGTCTCTGAGTGCTCTGCCGCAGGGTCTCCAAGGGACTGTGTTTCATTTTCTTTGGGGGATTCTGGGAAGTCTGCACAGGGATCTGAGCCGACCTCTTCCTTGGTTCCTGGACGCTGAGGGTAGAGTCCTGGCCTCTTCTATGTGTGGCAGACTGTGGCCTGGAGGTTGAGTTCAGGTCAGGCCCGTTGGTGTGGAGGACATGGCCCAGCACATGTGACTCTGAGGCTTCCTGGGGAACGTCATGAGCTCGTTCATCAGGCCTGTTGTCTGTGTGCTGGGGTCTGAGGGTAAAGTCCTGGCCCAAGTGCTTGGGTTTGAGGGTAGACCCCTGGGCCAAGTGCTTGGGTGCTGGGTGGGAGGAGGCAGTGATCCGCACTGCCCATCCGGTATTTTGTCCATGAGGTGAGAAGAACTTCTGGTCACGATTTTTGATAGGAGAAAATTCAGAGAAGATGGGTTTCAGGTCAGGTTTCCTTACAGGTGACCTGTTTGGGAGAGCAGGGCCCTGGACAGATCTCTTGGTTGTGTGGACGGGCATCGGCCTGCAAGGACGTTGTGGGAGGAGACACCATATCTTTTATTATTATTATATACAGGCATTCCCAGCATTAGGAACAAGTTCTATTTCTAATTCTGTCTTTCAGCCCTATTTGTATGTATATCGGAATAGTTGGGTTTGGTTCATATCTAATCTAATGTCAGTTAGTGAAATATTTTTGTATTATATACTATATACCTTTCTATTCATAGCATTAAAGACAAACACATCCAGATACATGAAAACACCTTTAACATAATAATACAGTAATAATAATAAAGTTTGATGCATGTCTCAAAGTAACATCCATATGTTACTTAGTACCATTTATGGACCTCATGTTTTTACTATAATAGAATTTAGGTGGTGGGTTCATAATTACAGGTCACACGTAAGTCGCACATTTGTAACCTAGGGACTGCCTATACATCAGGATTTCCACTAAGGCAAGTGGACATTGAAACTCAACCAATCATAAAGGCATGGAACTTATAAAACTTTCTTAACAGTAGAAAAATTCAGACAGTCATTGTGTTAATGACCCAGCCTCAGTGATGGCCAGGAGAAAATAAATTACAATATCAACCTGACATATTGTTTCCACAAGACTTGAAAACATACAGTTTCTTAATATTGACTCTGGCTAAATTATGTGGAAACAAGCTCTTTCATGCACTCCTGTATGGAATGCACATGGTTAAAGCTGTTTCAAAGGCAGGTTGACGGTAATATGCTTTGAAGAGAGTTTTTGAAATATGTATTACAATTTAAAGCAGCTTCATGGCATAAAGTAAGGCATTTGGCTGCAAACCAGAAGATCAGTGGTAAAACCCACCAGCTGCTCTGGGGAAGGAAGAAGATAAGATAATCTACTTCCGTAAAGATTTACAGCTTTGGAAAGCCAGTGGGGGTCGCTATGAGTGTAATTGACTCAGGAGCACTAGGCTTTTTTTTTTTTTTTTTGGTTTATTGTGATTTAAAAGATGCATACACTTGCATGTAGGATTCTATGTTCTACCTACACGAGATTCACTTCTACATGTGCATAGAAATGCCCCCACTGGTATTTTTCTGGTAGACATACAAGCCGTCTTAGTAAAATGGAAGGAACAATGGGGGTAATGGTGTCTGAAATGTACACAAATAATTTAGAATCCTATTGGTCAGAGGAGAATTTTGAAAATTCTTCCTACAGAAAGGGATGATAGTGAAGAAAATCACAGTTGCACAGAAGAAAAAATGGAGCCTGGGTGATACTTACCCTTAGGTAGCCCCAGGAATCTGAGGGCTCCTCCCAGTTTTGCTCATGTATCACTTGGGGTCTCTGGGGACGTTTCTGGAGTCGAGCTTTACTCGGATGCTCTTCTTGCCTGCAGGGAAAAATCACAAACAAAGGAATGAAATAAATAAATACATGTTAAGTGGACTTGATGCAACTTCCTCTCCCACAAAGGATAAAGACTCCTGGAGCCCAGGCCTATTAATCCTTTGGGGATGAAGAAAGTATGAAACCACTGTGACTTTTTCCAAGACTGCCCATTGCCTCATCTCAGATTCATCCTCCAACCCTTTCAGCCCTTAAGGATTTGTCCATTATGGACTTGACTTTGGACTTAGTTCCTTCTGTCCATGCCATGTGCAAAGTTCTAACATGAGCCCTGGCCCCATACCCATAGTGATTCTCCAGGACTAGAAAGAGCTCCTGAGTGTGGACACCTGGATGATATTGAACTCTTGTCTATTTCTCCCCAGTTGCCCTGTCCTTGTATGAAATGGCTGGGCATGTGACATAGAGATGGAGACACATCATCTCCTTCATTTCAATACCCAAGGACTGTCCCTGTTCCTCACCTTTGTCCTTGTGCCTTCTCTCTTTCCATCTTCTTAAAGAGGCCTGGGGTCTGGGGTCCCTGGGGCTTCCTTGGCTCCAGGTTCTCCTTCTTATTTGAGCCTAAGGCTTGGGGGACAACAGCCCTACCCCAGCACTTCATGGGGCATGTCTTGCTACTTGATGTGTGCCCCAAAGCCCCGCAGTCCTTGCACTTCACCTGTGGTGGGGGTGGGGGAAGAAGAGTGATTCGGCATAAGTCACAGGCAGCTTCCAAAAGTCAATATAATATCAAAGGTCAGGAATCAGGTGTTATTTTGGGGAGAGAACATCTGCCTATGACCCATAATTTGTACAAAATTTCAGGATATTGTGGCCTTGCCTCTGGCCGATGTTACCAGGAAGAAGAACAGGGGAGTAGAAGGATGAGGACTGTGAGCCAGGTTCAAGGATATGAGAAACACAAGGCTGGAAAGGACCCAAAATAGGGAATAAGATTCCTCCTCAAAGAGTCGGAGTGGGTAATTAATCAGGGAGGAGGTCACAAGGGAGGCAGAGCAGCCTTGAGTGAGTAAGAACAACCGAGTTACAGACACAGACCTTTCCACCTTCACACCCTCCCTATGGAATCCACCCAGCCCCTCTGGGTCCTGAGAGGTTCAAGCCTCCACATACCTTGGGATCCTCCTCCTCTGGTCTGGAAGCCCTGGGTCCCACTGGTCCCCGCTGTTGCTTCTTCATCTTCTGCGCTTTATGGGGTCTTTGGGGGATGATTCTGTGTGTAATGAGCTGTCATCCGCCTCATCTCCTTTAAACGTCAGTCCAGACTTCCTCAGGAATCGATTCTGGGTTTCCTGAATTGGGAGAGAAGGAAAGTATTTACTATAGACAGAGACAAAGTCCCCTGTGCAGTTCCTCCACCTGGCTATCGAGGTGCCTCAGTGCTCACTAATTCCAACCCATACTGTTTTCCTCTGCTCACAAAGCAGTACCATCATCTGTCATGGTTCCCTACTCCCACAATGGGACTCCGGTTCTGACTAGACTCTTGACACACAAATGGAGAATTAAGATTTGCACCCACTGATGCCTGTTTTGAAAACTTCAGGCCCTAATTAGAATTGAGAGTAAAGCATTTTATTCCTGTTTAAAAGTGATGGAAATTCTAACCCCAACACCGAAAGTCAAGGCACTCCGTATTGTCTCAACCACTCTTCATCTCAGTGTTTAAAAGGACTAAGATTTTTTTATTTTATTTTATTTTTATTTTTTTAGGATTTGGGTGAAGATTTACAGAGTAAAT